TGCTTTAGACCACTGAGCCATCTCACCAGCCCCCTAAAAGTTATACTTTTAAGAAGACAAAACCTTCCAGGGCCCAGAGAATGTCATCCAAGGAGATCTGCATCAGCATCCTGTTGGTTAAATTTGGGCTCCTTTCCTTGCAAACCCATCACACCCCACTTTCCTCAAAAATAGTAAAAGTCCATACATTGCTTTAAGTGAGAAAGTAATGAGTCTTAAGCTAGAGGCACAGGTTGAAAGAATCCAAAGAATGTTTAAGTCACCTATCTAGAAAAGAAACCCAAAACAACACTGGGCCCATTTCTCTCAAATGGTCTAGCACCCTTTCTGTAGCGTGGGCCACTTTTTCCTGGGGTTTCTACCTCCTCAAAAGAAGCATGAATGTTCCTCATTCAAGAAAATAAAGTGCCTCTCTCCAGAGCCCACATTATTTCTTTGAGTGTTTATTGAAATTTCTAAGGGCCAGGCGTGGTGGTGTGCACCTGTTATCCCAGCACTTGGGAGGCTGAGGTAGGAGGATCATTCCAAGTTTGAGACCAGCCTGGGCTACAAAGTGAGTTCAAGGCCAGCTTGAACTACATGATGTGACCCTGTCTCAAAAAGAAAATAAAAAATTCTGTCTAATAAACCTTTTCTGAGCCTCTCATGTGTCTTAATTTTTTTTTTCCTGCAACAGGAGTTGATGAACCTGCAATCGTATGGGTTGGGGAGGTTCCTAACTTCCTTGGACTCTGTCCAGTGGCAGTATGATTCTTTCCATACTAGGCAGTATATTCACATGGCACAAAATTGAGAAGGTGCTCTAAGTCTCTTCCTCCCCACTAGGGTCCTTGAGCTCCCTTTCCTGAGGCCCTGCTGGCAGGGTGCTGTAGTGGAGAGGATCTGACTTGCCCTTTCCCTCCTTATCATGGTGTAGCCAGTCATTCTTTTCTATGGTGACACAACCTTTCATTTAATCCATGTACCATCATTTATTTAACCAGCTCCTTATATGGTAGACATTCAATCTTGGCTGTTCCAAGCTATTGTAAAGAAAAACCTTGCACACATCATTGTACCAACCATGTGTGGTTGTTTATTGTTATTCATGGTGTTTTGACGTCTTGGGGCCTTGCTGCTGATCCTGGAGAAATTGCCCTTCCAGGGCTAGCTCATTCCTAGAGCCAGTAAACAGTTCCTCTGAGCACATCTTTCCAGATGCAAACCAGTCAGTGCAGCCTGTGCTCTCAGCACCTGCTTTATCTGATGCTCACACACCAAGCTAATCTCCCCACCCTAAAGCACCCAGGACTAGGGACTGGCCGACCAGGGACTGCCCCAGGTTAGACCACACCCTGCTGGGTTATTGAGCCAGTCAGTCCGAAGTCTGTTGACCCTGACTTGCCTGGCCTGCCTGGTGGAAGCTGAAATAAAGGCCCTGGCTCCTGTCTTCCCTTGCACCTTCCATCTCCCCTCGTGCTTCCCTGTCTGACTGCATGGCATAGCCCAGGACCTCGCCTCAGGACTGTGAGTAATAAACTTTTCTTTCAAGTTGTCTTTGCACCTGTCCTCTTACTGTACCTAATTAAAACAAATCCTGAGTATGTTTTGACATTCAATTTCTTTCTTTTGTTTTAGTACCGTGCTGGGGATTGAGCCCAGCCTTGTGCAAGCTCGGCAAGCACTCACCCATTAAGCCACATCCCCAGCCCTTTGAGTATTTGTTTGAAACAGTCATTCTGTGCATGTACAGCCTCGCTTGCTCTCAGTGAAGGGGAAAATAATGTGTCACCCTTCGATTGGCTCCAAGGGAGCAGCGCATTGTATGTAGAAGGAAAAGCAATGGGAGACAGCTCAAAATAAATATGTTCATCTCCCCCCAGTTATAAAATTAATACACAATGGAATTTGAAAAATACAGAAAACTTTTGTAGAAATTAAAACCAATGGTTTTACAAAATGTTAAAACAGAACTGGTGATAGTTTGTACTTGTAATCCCAGCTATTTGGGAGTCTGAGGCAGGAGAGACACAAGTTCAAGGTTAACCTGTGTGATTTAGTGTCTCCCAGGTTCAAAAGATGAGAATATCCCTAGTACA